TTTTTCACTCTTTGGGAGTGGTTTCATTCTTTTAAGGTAGTCTTTCACTTGGTTTTTCACTCTTTTGGAGTGTTTTTGCAAACAATATCTTAAAGTCTAGAGAAAATACAATGCAGATAGCCCATCTTCATTAGCCAAAACAAAGCAAAGGAAGCAAACCAATTTCACATTAACAACCGAAGTGTTAAATTGAAAATAAAGTTTACCGGAAACATGAAAGATGTCAAGGGCCGTAGTCAAATGTTCTTTATCATGAATTCAACATTACAATGGCCCAGTGTGGCACGGAAAATATTCATAAAAACATCAGGGTGCGCGGTCAATAAAACGGTCATACCGTATACGACAACATGTACAGTCCAGTTCGACGTCCAACATCTTTGTGCGCGCCCTTCCCACGCAGTCGTGTTTCCTTTTTGATGGCGTGTTTGAATGACACACCCGACAGACACTTAACCTTCAAGCGCCCTTTACCCACTGTCGAGTCAGCGACACAGTTAAAGGGTCTCACCCTTCCGTGGGCCTTGGTCGAATCACACGAGGTCGAAGAGGCAACATTCATTTCACTTTCATTTGGTGAGATCTCATGGTGAGATTCGGCTTTGGAAGATCATGATGCCGAATCACAAAAAGACAGAAATTTTATCCAAGAATGGTCATGTAAAATGCCTCCGCGAAAACTTACCCGCAACCTTCAACCTCTGGAATGTGTGAACAATCACGTAAATTTGGAGGATTAAGCGAGCGGATGTAGCTGTGGATACTTGCAATAAGTCTGTGTGTATAACTCGTACGCCTCTAAAACATCGAATCCAATCCAGAGCAAGAGACTGAGGGTACTGAGCATTCTTTCCTGTGCATAATTCCACGCATTAAAATTATGATTTACGAGACTTGACGGTCTGCCAAGTTCAGAAGTTTTGATACTTGTATTTCCAACAAAAAGTCTCTCCTTCGAGATATTACATAAAACGTGAATATCTCTTGAATGAGAGGGAAAGGACAAAGAGAATGAATGAAACTTGGTTTCCGAATTTCGGAGCATTATTTTTGCTAAAAACAGAACAAAGCGAACTACATTCAGGACCAGTGGGATATTTTCTCACAGAAGTACAGCAAGTGGGGAATGGAAAAAACACTGTGCACAACTGATATTCACATCAGAATCCCTGAGGAAATACCACCGGACGTCCTTCAAGACAGCTGTCCTGAAAGATAACAAACTAGGGGTGACTTCCAGTTTGCAGTTTCAATTTCTCTTATTAAAAATGTGCACAACTTGGCGCGCTGTCTACAGAAAAATTTGCCCAATTTATAATCGTTTTCGTGCAGATGACGAGAGACTGTACGTGCGGATAATAAATGCCGGGCTTGTTATAACAGGCAAGGTTGAGAGTGGCGTCGAAAATGAAAGCATGAATGTGCTCATTAAAGTAAATCGGTTTAACCCCTGAATGAATTTCCTCATTCTTTAGTTCCACAAAAACACTGTCAGCATATACCGGAAAGAAAAACAAACAACACGGGCGGCCCATGCGCACCGCACATTTAGTAATAAATACACAGTGAAGCTAGTTTGTACCGCTGGGCAGAGCAGGCAGAAAACGCTGATATTAGGTCGTTTCAGATGTCATGGACAGAGGTAAGTACGTAAAGCAACACCTTCTTCCTGAAAAAAAAAATGATAACCGGATGTGATTCCTTTACCAGATGTTTGTGGGGCACCCAGAAACAGCTGAGAGTTGCCAAAAAGGGAAACAAAGTCACGGAATGGCGCCGCAAGATGACTGCACTCTAAGGGGTTTTTACTCAGCGCATATTATACACTATAGCATACCGGCAAATTTGATGCGCATACGGTGGATGGGCGCGCGCCAAGCACTGAGTAGGGTCATGTGAATTTCGTACTCCTGTGAACTCCGATCTTTCCTAATATGGACTACGATGCCCGTTAAGACTGGATACACTTGCATGTACATGCACAAGCACGCCGTCCAAATCGAACGTAGAACCGAAGCTCACATGAACGAGGGCCATCTGCATGGTGTTACGGTGGATAATTATAGCTATATAATACTGTACATGGAGATGTTCAGTTTATGAACAGCATACGCTGGTTACGCTGAACTGAGTGGCCGCACCAGTCCCTCCTTGGCATGAAACAAAATCAAAGAAGCTCAGAATGATAACCTACGTTCTTTAACCTTGCATATTTTTCACTGAAGCTCTTCCTTGTTTATAACTTCAACTATTTCTGAAATTCGAATCTCGGGTTTTATGACGCAAACAGCTGTATGGACGCCGCAACCGACGCGACGTTGCAAAATTTATTAGTGGCTGATTTTTTTAAGTTGACACGACGATGGGCCGTCTCTTGAAAACTCCCCATTCTGTTCAAAATCGCCCAAAGACGATCGATTCGTGGGAAATGGTGTATTTTAAGGACCCTTATACTACAGTGACTTCAATCGTCAATCCGACCTAAAACCTTTTTCTACAGTAAAGTCTTCGAAGTTTGAACAAATATACGCACGTACACGCAGGCCCTGAAAGAGCCCTTCCATCATGTTCAGGCTCCATGCTATAATTTAAACATGCAGGAACAAATACAGTGCCGAAAGGCTTCAGGAATACAAACAAATCAACAAAAAGTAGGCCTACCGTCTATAACAAATGATTCCAAGTTTATGGCATCTTCTAACCTCCACTTAGTCTGAGAAATGGGAATAATTACCTCAGGCTCTACCTTTGCCCTAAAGGTCGTCTCCTGTTAGCCGTCCTCCAGACGTGAACAGCTCATAGCTGCGTGCCATGAAACACAGAGCGCGCGCGACCACATGTAATACGTTCACACCTAATTCTGCGGAAATGCAGGCAACGCACAAGAAAGTATACTCACACTTTCTGCGCCGACTTGCAGTCGATCTTTGCGGGATGCTAGCCACGAATCCAGAGTCAATCTAAACTCAGTGGACCTCACTAGACTAAGCCTGGAAATAAAACATGGTCCCTGAAATGCCAAGTTCGGCAAGCTGCAAATTGACAAGTACCGGCTCACGCAACACAATCGACATGTACAGTACAGTACAGTAACCTGAGCAGTCGACGCTTGAACAAGGCAGAGCATGTACAGGTTGGGCCCGCTGCTGGCAGGCTACAACAACTCTACCGCTCGCTTTAATTTTCTCCACGTGTCACACTGCGAGCGCCCCCAGTTGACAGTGTCGAGAGAACGGACAAGACGTTCATCAGACTGAAGACTTGAAAAACGGTGGTCCTGAAGTGGAACTTGTTTCGCACGGTTGATTGTCATCCAAAATATAGTGTTTTGCCAATCACTGTTCTGCGACTTTCCAGCTGTTGGCCTAATTAGGCTTCCCCGCGTAAAGGGTTTACAGAAATACGTGGAGGTGGTCTATCCACCCCAGGGGCGTATCCAACTGTTTCAGGGGGATTCAAAACCGAATGCAGCTTCGGGCTTATTCAGCACTGATGTTGGCTGTGATATCCAAAAAGCTCGTTAGGCCTATAAAGCCTACAAAATAACGAACGAGCCTAAAAACGAACTTGAACTTAACGTTATCATTCAGTACTCTTAACTTGATAATTATTACTTAACAGAAAGGACATGTTTAGTTATACGAGTCGTATGGAGAAATAAGTCTTGACCAGAGCTCATCACTGGCCTGTTGCTATGGATAAATAAAAAACAAAGTTGCAAAGTATTTACAGAGTTTACTTATTACCTTTGGACCTGAATGTCTGAAAAAGGCCTGAAAACATTAAAACGGGTCAAATCTAATCAACACCGTAGTTTACCGTTGCCTAACAACGGTAAACTATTTTTTTTTCTGAAAAGGTGGTACAATTGCACCAGAATAATTTGAGAAAATTTCTGTACCAACTGTCGCTTAAAATATCATTGTCAAGCAGCCTTCATCTTTTTCTTTTATAGGTTTGTCCAGAACATGAAGCATCCCGAAACCAACGCAAATCTGTGACTGACAAATTATCCGACTTTTAGGGATCTAAGTGCAATTATCGACAACCATCAAATTTTCAAATTGACTCAGCAAGTCTACTGAAGTTCCAGTGTTGTTGCTAGAGCACACTGAATTCGAATAACTCAATCTCATACGTGACCCATCCAATGTAAATATCGTACTTGACAACACTATTTGCCTCACCCGATAATCTCCACGGTGCGTCCAATGTATCAAAGGAAATAATAAACTGGTGGATTGGTTATATATATATATAAAAATTGCCCATTCAAAGCCCGCTGTCGCGTTAGGTTCAGTTGTTGCCTAGTCAGCGAGCGCTTTCTGGTTTGGTAAACACATACAAAGGTGTCCATTTTGGGACCGGAGTTACAACAGAAAGCAACCAGTCGTGTGTTGAGTTTCTAATGATGCTGTGTTGATACTGTGTAGACATCTGTATGTATTTTCCAACTGATGCCATCAAGTTATTGGAGCAGGACGAGGAATTCTAACGATACTTGCAACCGACTGCAAGACGAGATCAACGGCGATTCCGATCAGACTACTTATCAGTTATGATTTTTTTGGTGTTAATTATGACGCAGGGGTGAGTTATTTTCTTCTACTTCGAAATCGGGACATAAATTTATGTCCACTTGCTGTGAATTTACTCGTTCGATCTTTCAACAGATCTGATTTATCTCTGGCTGAAAGAGTCAGTTACATGGTTCAATCAAACTTATTCACCACCACGAAGGAAGCGACATCCATTGATAAGACAGAGTGCTTTCAAGTTATTTTTCTCATTTTGACATCAAGGAAAATGTTTAAGTTCGCTTGTGACCTCCATAAGTTCGTGAAAGCTCCGTATCGCGCCACAGCCATTGTTATTTGAAACATTGAATTTGCCAAAAGGGAAAGAGTTCCATCATGACCTGAACATCCGCACTTGATGTCCTGTGCACAAACCCAATGCGGCTGAGATTTAAAATTTTCAATATCTTCTACGAAAATGTTTTTCTGTGCTGATTTTGACTTGTCAGGACATGTTATCACTTTCTGAAGGCGGATACATGTAAACCACTGTAGGAAAGAGTGGCCGATTTCCACACACTCTTCCCGCGAAATGTTTCAAGTTTGCAAAAACAATGTCACACATTTCCCTTTCCCTCTTCAAATGTATTATAATCACTCTGTGAATGAACGCATTCTGTTGTTTCTCTTAAATATCTCGTAGTAGAGACAGTCGGTAGTGTTCAAGAAAAAGGACTTACACGTGAACTGAACGATACGAGAAAAACATACCTCGCTCACTATTCAACTCTACGGTGGTCGGACTGAATGAAGCTCTAGACTGTAAGATATTGGGACTGCTTTTGCCGTCACATCTGTTCTCCAGTTCCCGCTTGAAGTAGGTACCTCATCATCGACAAGCAGTGTTTCGATTACATGACGCAGAATGGGCTGTGGGCCCTCAGAAGTTGCTGTGAATCACAACCACGCCCAGGTGAACAACCACTCTCAAAACAACAACCACGCCCAGATCCCCGTCTCAAAGAAGAAAGCTATCACAAAGGTAAATCATTTACACGTATTTATTTTTGCTTCTTTCAATTTTCAAACAACATAGATGCCTCATATCAGCACAATATATTATAACCTTATATATCTTGATAATGCATTACAAGTTTCGTTCATATATACACCACACATCATAACGTAGTGTCGTTCAATCTTTATTTCTACGAGGCCTCTAATGCTATAAAAATCTAAGATATCTGTGTTATACTTTAAGAAGTAAGCAGACATAAGTTGCAACTTTTTCACAGCTGACAATTATCCTATCTTGTGTGACCTTGACACCCGCAGGAGGAGTCAGCAAACAGAAGTAACACTTTGCGAAGAGGTGAGTAAAACAACACTCAATTTGTGGGGCATGCTTCAAGATAGTTTTACATGAATTATACATGTGCATGCGTCTGTCTGTGGCCTATCTAGACGAGCAGGGTTATAATACAATGTGGCATTTTTTTCTGACAGGAATTGAAAGTGCTATCATTGTAATAGACGGTGCCGATTACGGGGATCGAAGATTATTTTACGGATGGAAACCTTGGACAATAATTATGGATATTTTTTTAGAATAAAGCATCTCTTTTACAAATGTGTTTGGCGAAATGGAGAGAAACATTTTTTAGAAATGCACTAACGTAAAGAGAGTCAAATTTCTGAGTGGGCGCCCGTTGGTATACATTTTTTCCCAAGGGGGCACTAAAAGCAAATGAACTATGGCTTGTGCATAGGTTGTGAAGGCTATATTTCCACGTTTCGGGGGGGGTGTTAGCTATAGACGACTTCGGGGGGAGGCGAGCGCCCTGTATGACCTAATCCCCGAATTACACCACCGCAGACATGTGCACATATGTTTTTCTGGTCGTCAGAAAAATCGTTCCAGGTATCATGAGTTACAGAAGAGTAATAGCATATTAAAGGACGATGTAATTTGGTTCATGATACAAAATTCCTTCCTCTTCCCAGACCAATCAGAGACGCAGGTTCCTTTCAGTTATATGTGTACTTGTGTGTTTTTTTTTTAAATAATGTGTTGCAGGATACAAGTACGTGTGACCAAATTTGTTATTTTTCAGCACAATTATTGCATTTTGACCGATTTGCAATTTTTTTTGGCCGTGGACTAAGGACGCAAATAATTTTCAATTCTTGTGGACAAGTTAATTGAAATGACGAAATATTCGTTCAATAGGGAGCCCATTACCACCCCGTATATCGGTCACTGTGCCTCCGGACTTGGCCCTGCTCGACGTTGTACCGACCACGCCTATCGAGAACCCGACTCTGTCTGGTTACATCTATGTGCCACCACCCATTCCGGTACTTGTGTACCAAGGCGAGGACACCTTCACCAGACACTACCTCACAGTGCGAGGGGACAGACTAATGTTTGAGGGCACGCGGGGCGAATTGGATGAAACACAGTGTAAGTTGTCACGATGATTTCATGAACAAATTTCTCATATAGTTAATATGAATGGGACAGTAATTTTCGGACTATTCAAAGTAGCCACTTTTTGTAGGTAGAAAGATATGGTGGTTCTAAGGCAATGAAAGCTGTGGAACTTGCATTGTTCGTGTGTATTTCGTAAGGCAGAACTGTTCTGTTTATAATTCCTCAGCCTGTATGGTTTCGAATGATGCGTCACATTTTGCAAAGCCCCAACAATTACCAGCGTTCAACAGGTACAGACTGAAGACTTGCAGCCAGTATAGTTTACGCACAAGGAACTTTTGAATTTAAAGTTCCCGTTCATTTTGGGACCGTTGTGTAAGACATTGGATCATAGTAATTATTTCATTTTGTTTCTGGCTGCCAAAGGTAGCTTCGTTATGTCATATGTAGGTAAATATTTGTCAGAATTTTCATTACAAGTATTAAAACTGAATTATCCAATGAACTAGTTTGCTGTATCCGGCCTTTAGAATGCTTCGAGAAGAAACGCTTGACGATAGAAAGAATGTAAGAGGTATTTGGGTGACCTTTGCTTAACATTTTTTCCCTGTATTAAAACGTTTCAAGAGCAAGCAATAACTTAGTCGACCTTTGGATACAGCACATCGCAGATGATCATTCAGAAGTGAAGCATCAATCAACCCAGGCGAGTGGTGCTTAACACTTAAGGTCAAATGTGTCCTGAACTATCTGTTCCTTTTTTCATGTACTTTGGTTTGCAGACGTGTTTGATATGTACCAGTATGCCAGCAAGTGCGCCGACTGGGGCACCACCGTCAGCCTTGTGCACAGACAGTCGATGCGATGCATCGCCTCCGAATCAGAAGAGGGCGTCGCGAAACTCGTGGTAAGAAAAAAATATGTATATACTCCTAAAAAGGTTTAAACTGACTGGAAGACTGAAAGGAGCCGCCAGAATTCAGTCTATGTGCTTGACTTCTGTACAGATGAAACAAGCCTAACCAGCAGCCTTCACCCTTAGAATTCAAATCCATAACCCAAACTTCAAATCGCATAAAATGCCATAACTTCAAAACCTCTGATCAGAGGAACCACCCAAACTCAATAACACAATCATCCCTCAACTTATAAATAAAAAATACAAGGGGAAAAATGCAATTGTACGTTTAATCCAAATCACATGCACACATATAAACTACGTTGAGCATAACTTCCACACTGTATAGTGACGTTGTGACTGACAGTAATCCATTAAAGCCAGCGTTATTACTTGAATGGCAGGCAACGAAATCGTCATTGTGCCCGGGGCAAGATTAAAATGTAAATAGCGTAGGTGATTTGGGAATATTAAAATACAGTTCAAACGCTTCTGATCGTTTTACCCACTCAAAACTGGTGTTTTCATAACACTTCATAAAACAATCAAGTGATTCCATAAAATGGCCTCATTTGCGAAGCATCTTACAGCTGAATATCAAAACAATATTCTCTAGAGGGGGCATATGTCTAGAACAGTTTGGCTCTTTAAAAAATTATTCTAAGAAAGCTACTTTCTGGTATTGGTGCATTAAATTTAGAACTTCATTTTTTTTCGATTTCTGATTGAACGGTAACACTGAGATAAAAAAAAACACCTGGGTTAGACTGACCCAGAATCTGGGTCCCATGGGGCCTGACCCCTTTCCGGGTCAAATATGACCCAAAACAGGTCATAATTTGACTCGGGAACGGGTCAGGCCCCATGGGAACCAGATTCTGGGTCAGTCTGACCCTGGTGTTTTTATAGTGACCCTTGAACAATGAATGGAATATTTATTCAAATTGCTTTTGGCTTACTACTGGCTAAAGGAAATGTTATTCCTTCGACGAGTTTTAAAACAGAATAAAGGTAAATAAACGATGCCACAAGTACTCTGTTTATATTTCTGATTCAAAGTTTTTTCAAATGAAAGGAATCATATTATATTATTATACTATTACTGCAGGACTTCCCAGACTGGATGTCCCAGGATGACGAAGAGATTGAGGTCAATCCACGCTTCTTCCTACGGACTCAAGAGAGTCCGGAATCAGACTACACGTTATTCCGATGTCACAGCGGACCAGGTATCATACACCACTGTTGTGGGCATTTTAGTAACCCTTTCCGTCTGAAATTGTGAAATTCACACAGTTTATGTAGGCTCCCACAATTTTAATTTGCTTTCTTTACTCTCTTGAAAAAATGCGTGCAAGCTCTTTGCACGCGTGGGTGCCCCTCCCTGGTTACGTACACCACCATTAACGTTTTTAACGATGTGTTGATACATCACAACGTTACCACAATCAATTACAGTACCTCATTAACATCAAAAGGTACCTTTCCTAAAAATCACCTTAATAATGAAAACAATTAAATGTAGATTCCTCTATCCGTTTAGGTTGAAAATCCGTAAGTGCACTTCCTATATTTATCCATCTGGGGCTATATTGATGGGCTTGGCCATACTCAGGGCCTATAGTCTCTTAAAGGAACACCAAATTAGAAGCCTTAGCCTATGTACATGGCCAAAACAGCCCTCTATCTACTCCCTTTGTGTATCCACTTTGACGCCATTCCCCACGAGTGTGATATATCAGACCTTTAACTATTCATATTTGTCAATGGGCATTGACTTCACACGAAAAACTCATTTCAAGACGAATTTATTTTTGACTTTCCTTTCACAGTGAAGTACTTGGCCAGAGACGCAGACACGAGCAAGGCTTACCTGTCTCCCTGGATGCGGTATCCTGCCTTCTTACAACTGAAAGTATTGACTGTCCCGCAGGAGACGCCCGACGAGGACTCCCTAAGAACGTCAGACTTTGTTTAAGCACTTGAACGAGATGTCCTTAAACGACTCCAATCAACATTTGTCGAACATCAGCGCCGATCTGTTCCACACCAGAGTGACCCAGGTTCCCGGAAAGAGAATGCTGGAATCTTGCATAGAGTAAGATTTATTGCGGTTGCAACTACACGTAACTCCTAGGGTTTTGCTCACAGTGAAGGCTGAAACACAACGGGCAACAAAAGATCGTTCCCGCGTCGGGACGTTTCTGACAAGCAAAGGCAGGGAATTCAAACCATGTGAGGAAAAAGGAAAGCATCGGGACAACGACATACTTTGAATTGAATCTTTAATCGCTTAACGACAGACCATGCAGGTGCTTTGATGTTGGAGAATTTTTTTGTTTGGGGAATGGTTGAGTAATAACGCACACGATATTAGGGTGAAACTGATGTCACAAGCTGTCAACAAAGTGGTATATTTTAATAATATCGAGGGTTTGAATTATAATCCAATAGTCATGTTTGCAAAGCCGATGTTGCATGTAAATACATGTATATTTATATAACATTGATAATGAATTCATTCTAGTTATAGCCTTTGTATCTGTAAAACGACTATGCAATTTGTTGAAATAAATTCTACGGTGGGCCTTCTACAAATCCACGACGGTGGTCTGTTGCCATCATCCAGATCCGAAGAAATTGGGATCCCTTCACAAAACAGTTCGTGTACTGGCATGACAAGATTCGTAACTTGGGACAAACAAAGGTTTGTTTCCGATAACGGAATGCCAAGTTACATGTTTCCAACAACATTACCGTGGCCGCCCAGTGAGCGAATTGTTCACATCAATATCAGATTATACTTGGTCATACTCATATGTTTTATATTGAACGAAAAAACTATAGGCAGGTAAGGCATCCACAAATATTCCTTATTTACTCCTTTATTTCTGCCAGTATTTGTGTGAAAGGAAATGACAATGATTCCTGTACGGTGAGATAGTTTTGTTCGTTCTGCAGACCTTTTTCAAAGCAGTGTTCCAAAGATTTGTTTATTTTTTCAGGTGTGTTTTACGCTCTGTTTTCAAATGTTGCATCTCTGTCAACTGAAGTTCCAAATATTACCCTAAGGCTTGCTTTTTTTCTCCCTGGTGCATGAAAACTCTTTAGCTCAGATCCAGCATGTGGTTCCAAATGTATATTTCATGCTAATGAGTATCAATGACGAATCGATTTCAAGACGTCCCGGGTTTGCAATGTTCTCGTAAACTATCAAGTGTTTGAAATTCTGTAGATAGGCCCTATCACTGTATCAGAGTGTTTCCTAAAAAAAAATAGAAAGCAGCCTCCTTCATATCTTCATTTCTCAGTGGCCTGTTTGGGATATGGACGTGTCAAACGTGCCATTTTGCGCCACATTCAAAAGTACTTAAATTGCCCAACTCCAGCCGAATGGTACAAACGGTGAAGACAGCTGCACCTCACTTTTGAAGGATTAGTGGCGACGCCAAGAAGCGTCTTTTGTTGAATACCCTTCCTCTCCACTATTTCGGGTTAAGCAGACCCTCCAACCCTTCAAGGGGGATATGTGAGAACAATTTCAGCGGTTGCAGAATGCTAAAAAAGACCTCTAATCGAACTCACGAGAGCCATATTCCTTACAAATAAACGTGGAAGACCCAATAAGAATGGACGCGTAACCATACAATTCCAACAGGCTGCCGAAAATAGAGATCATTCACGAAGGCCAGCCATCAAAGACCCAGACTAGTTTACTGCATTTGACGCTATTGCGGTGTTTGGGGGAAAGGAGCCTTTATTGTACGGTAAACGTTCAGTCAAACACTTCTTTGTATAGAATTATATAGCAATGTTGGCAAAGCTTTGCGTGTTTTTATTTACATTGCTGCACATTACATGCAACTGGCATAAAGTCCATGCACTACACACAACAAACACCCGTTAAAGTCCTTCGTTGAAAAGGGTTGGTTTACAGCAATATTAGTTTTTTCGTTGTCACTTTTCATAAAATCACTGGAAATTAACAGAGCAAGCATGTTTATAAGCTACATATGCAGTGCTTGCTTGTCCTGTCATGTCAACTTCTGCTATTGATGACGTGCCTTTGGCTGTCAAAGTATCTCGAGTTTAAATAAAGTACATGCAGTGGAACTGCCAGTTACAACAATAATTTAGTGTCGATGATTTTACTCTTAAATAACTCCATCTTTTCTGTGTTTCACACAACCTGTTCCTGAAACAGGGAAAGCATTCATATATAATGCTTTCACTAAAGAATTCTATAAATAATAAATAAACTGATATTTTACTTGCTTATTTTTATTGACCTGTTTTGATTTTCTTAATAGCTCTATATAAATGTATATATTTTATGTCCTAGATGATTTTTTTCTACCTATTGACTGAAGTAGAATATTAAAAACACGAAAAAAAAGTTAAATTTTTTAGTGCAATTTCTTTTTTAGGTTTATGGGGTCAAAGAACAATGAGATGAAGTAACCTGCGTAGGAAAAAGCACAATTAAATTTGTCTATTTTGCCAGGGGTATTTGATATACATAGATATCCTACATTTTTACTTGACAACATTCAGTACATGTACTAAAATTACATGTATATAATTATGTGTAAGGGAAATTACAAACTATTCTAGAAATCTTTTCACTACTAATCAAAATAGCTTTGGGAAATGCAGGCAGACTACTGGTGAGACGCTGTAAACATGCACTACAAACATGATTCAAATTCTGAAGTGAGGAATAGCAATGCCGCCATATTATCAATGAATACGTTCTCCATTCACCAGTTTCTACCCAACCTGGCTTCAATAAAATTCTTTAAAACTTGTTTCAATATACTGTCCCATTTTCCTTTTTCAACGATCAAGCACACTTGTTAGTTAAAATGCAAACCAAAAGGCAAGTAATTCAACAAGATTTCAAAAGGAAAACATAGAGTTGAAAAAAACAGCAGTACGGTATAAAAGGAATCTACTTCGACATTTAGAAAATTAAGTTCAGAGTATAATGGCAGTGTAGGGACTGTAGCAAAGCTGCTGTTAACTAGATTGATCTCTAGGCCAAGTCAATGATTTCCCAGAAATATTAATTCTGACAGGCAATCTGACATCACTCATGACCAAGGGTTGAACAGACTGAAGTGGTCTTAAATAAGACAGTACTATCTCGGCCTCTTTTCAGATTTGCATAAGGTCACAAGGTCCCATTCCCCATTGGCAAGTGGAGGATGCTTGATGCCACGGGCCTGGCGCCAATTGGAAGGCAGATTGGTACCTAGCTGATTTGATTTGCATTGCTGAAGTTAATTTGTTGCATGTTGTGATCTTCGCAAGACCACTCAGATCACATTGACAAAAAAACAATAAAACAGCACTGAAAAATAGCAATGTACATGCATAGAAACACTGACAGCAGTAAATCATGGCCGTTTAAGGACTTCTGACCGACTGATTGTCACAGAGTCCCAAATCTGACAATTTTAACATATCGTTGCAATCTGCGTTAACTCATGCAGACTCCAGTTGGCAACACACCATTTGCTACATGTCATGAGCATCGCACATTTGTAACCGGCTTCTATGAAATGCATCGTGAGACGATTTTCCCTGTAATTTTGCTCCAATGTGGATCAGATAGAGAAAAGTTCTTTCTTTCTTTTGACGTATCGAAGTTTGACATCCCGATGAAAATGGACACCATGTGGGTGAAAAATGTTGAGGAAATCTATGGATTTACAATGCAAACTGTGCAAGATTCTTTTCAAGGTCCTCCACTCCTAAGTAGCTCTGACTCCTTTTGTTCGGCTGGGTCAATCTGTTCTTTTCCGCAGAGGTCCCTGCCATCCAGTTCCTCCTATTAAACAGCTCATAACTTTCCCTGTCTACTAATCCAATGCATTTTCTCCTGCAGGAGGGTCCTTTTTAATTTCACTAGGACTTTGAATCTATATGTTTCACGGTACCGGTAGTTCCTACCTGCACTCTTATCACCCAGAGGGCACTGTATTCCAGTAAATCTTGTTTGCTTTTGCAAGATTTTGTATAATTTTTGGAGTGACCTTGCACTTCTTGCAATCAGTTTCTGATATAATAGTGTTAATATGCATGAGAACATTAACACCAGTGTCAAACTGTTGAGGGACTGCTCAGATGAATCAATGTGATAAACCATTGTCAAAATAGCCTGTCAAATGGACGTCAGCGGGTTAGACCATTTACTAATTGTTGCGATGCCCTAGGTGAATCTTTTTTTTTTCAACAAGCCTGTCCGCTGTACTTGTAGTTCCTCCTGTCAAACAATACCATTCACCCATACTACCCTCACAGCTCTTTTCCATGTATTTCTACTGATCTCCATGATTACCGGTAGCTGCCTCAGAAGGGTCCTTAATAGCTATGTCAGTCAGGCTTTGACTTTCTGTGCTTTCTGGTAGTTCCTTGCCACTCTCATCAGTCAGAGGGTCATTGTGAATGTCTTCTCCAGCTATATCATGGCTCGCTCCTGGTGAGTCTTGGTTTTCTCCTGGTTGGGCATCTGTTGGCTCTTCCCTTACACCATTTCCCAAGTTGCTGTTATCCTTAGGCTCATCATCTCCAGCGTTATCCTGGTCTGCATCTCCACTGCCCTCAACTGGTACATCCTGGGAGATTCCTGACCCTGAGTCTGCAGTAGTTTCAGCATTCTTAACAACAGCACTGCCATCCTTTTGCTGCTCTATACCACTGGCTGTGACAGCTTCACTTGGACTATCTACATTGGTGTCTCTGCCCGCCGACGTATATATATCTCCACTTGGTGCATCGTGGAGCCTCAGCCTGCCCACAGCTTCCTTATATGATTCCGTCTGCTGAGTTTGTCCACTTGCTGTGACGTTCCCACACGGATTGTCGCTGCCATCTTTGGTACATTCTCTGTCTGCAATGACACTAGTCTTCACGGTGTCTTCAGGGGGTGCGGCCTTAACCTCCTTTTCCGCGGCTTCATTATGGGAGCTAACCCTGACAGCGATCTTGCTAGAGTTTGAAGATGGCCGTTCTGGCCTTGCGTAAGAGGCTTCTGCACCTGGTGCTGTTTTAGTGTCATACCTGCTGTCGTTACCATTGGTGTCTCTGAGGTTCTTTGACTGCCTGATGAACGGCAGTTCAGTCATGTTAGCAATCTTCTTGGAGGTGTACAGCAAATTGCTGCGCGGGGGTGCGTGAGGCCCAGACTTCATGCCATATTTGATGCCTAGAAATCGATGGTAAAAATTGTACACAGATGTTGAATGTACGGGCAGAACACTGCCATTCTTGACTGACCTGAATGCGAATGTGATTTAATGTTTGTTGGAGGAAGGGCAAGTTGCTCCCTTGAGACAGATTTCCTCCTTTTTCCTTTTTTAAAGACTTGAGAGTGGGCCCATTACCACTTTCCTTGGAGGAGGTGCAGATGGTTTTTCAGATGAAAAGAATAAACAGCTTGTTATTTTTTTGAAAAAAATTCAATTGTTAACCCTGCCCCCTCAGATCCAAGACCTGGATAAACCACAGGCTATATGAATGGACTATATAGCATGTGATCCTAGTGACATCAGTCTTTCTGAAACAAAGACACTGTCATCAAGCGATCATTATATTGGCCCAGCATATAATTCTCATGGACGAGTGTTATTCCTGTGAGAGCCACAATTCCGAGATACTACCGCAATGCTAGCATGCAATCGGAACAATACTCCTCCATGAATCCCAAATGGCATAAATGGACTAACTTACTAACATGTGATCCCTTCACTGTCACACCCATGATTCTGAAATGATGCTGTCAGATTTTTTGACAAGCATCTGTCGGTGGTTTTTCGCGACACTCACCCATGATGCGGAGATGGTATTGCTGGACCAGCATGTGATCTTTGTCGTGGTGCCAATCTCCATCCTCATCCTCTCTCCCCGCCTCCTTGACTCGGATAAAGTGACTGCCCGGAGCGAAGCGCTGGTAGTGTCTTGGGGGCTCCTCGCTCCTGCAAATGATGCAGCACTCCTGGCCTCCGTCCTGCGTAGCATGGGAATTCTGCAGGGATGTGCCGTCGATTATCTTCAGCTTGGGCCTCTTTCGCCAGCCTGGACTGCGGCGTGAAGAGAACGTCTCCTGGCTGCGGTTGGCTGGTGACGGGCTGGGGGCAGGAGTGGTGCGCTGCAGTGTCCCCTTTGAGGCGGTGGGCCGGTCCTCCTGTCCTGAAGCTGACCATGCTGATTTAGGGCATGGACTATCATGATTAAGTATAGCCAATTCACTCACGTTAGAGTCGCTGCCAAAGGATTCACAGCTCTGTGTGAGGTTCAAGGACGACACACTGCCTTTCACTGGTCAAAAGAAGAGAAAATAAGCACACATTCAGTACATGTATCACAACCAAAAGGAGCACCTGCCATCAAAATAAAATGTAGGAACATTTGTGACCTGGCAAGACAAAATGAGCGTAAAGTCACATTCTGCTCTCTCCTGTTTTGAGGGTTCAAAGTCAAATATTGATGTGGAGGTCAATTTTGGCATTTTGTAACATTTGGAAAGAGTAATCCGTCTATATATATTTCCATTTTTTTTTAAATGTCATTTTCTCAGCAATTCGATGATAGCATTATTTGTGCCCGGTCAGAAGTGTTGAAACAATGTCAGAAACAAAGATGCAATGTCATTGTCATCTTATACTTTTACCCAAGTGTTCCATGTACATGCCATCGGAAAACTCTCTTTCTGCTAAATTCAACAATACCAATATCTCAATTTTTGAAAATTCTTACTTTCAGCTCATTTTGTATCAAAGTAAGGTCTTCAGAAGTGGCAGGTCACCAAGCTTCTTAAAATGAACGGCACTGTCAGATTTGATGTCTCCTGGTGCCATAAATTCAATTTTTTGCCAAAAAAGGCTGAATACAGCAGCACAATTTGTTAATGAAAAATACCAATTGAGTTCCTTTTATCATTTCATCTTTAATCCCAAACCTTCTAGCATATGCTTTCTCATGCCAAAAACTTTGGATTAACTTTAAGGAAAAGTAACGTGAATTTCATAAAATGAGCTCAATTTTGTTCGCCGAAAAGAGCTGATGAAGTACTACTAGAAATTACAGCTGACAATTTATACACAGATGTTTGAAGATTAGGGGTTATAGCAGGGGAACAATCACTCCACTTACATTGTGCATTCATCTGGCCTTCCTTAGCAGGCACGTTCATCTTGAAGCAGTGCAGAGGGTCTTGTCTGGAGACAAAGAGACCGAGTTTATTGAGGCATTTGGCATCATGGTGATACATTCTAAAATTTAAAAAAAAAAAAGGAGATTTGTTAGTCACACCTGAAAGTCATTGTTACTTTTGAATGGTTAGCTTTTGCCAGTGTTTGAGTATTTCCAGAAATGGTTTGAGATCTACGCTAATGATGTCAAGCTTTCTCTGGTAAAGCTCATGGCGCTGAGTAAGTGGGTGTTCCATGTGGATAAATTCTGAAATGCTCATCAATTACCACCGACTACACAACAAGCACACAGCTTGAATCTATATGTCCTTCATGGTCAAATTAAGCGTACCTGTTGTAGCGTGCACCAATCAGAAACTGATGGACTGTTTCATCATCTTCTGTCACTGGAAGCAAACTGCAAATTAGAGGAACAATGCACTAAATGCTCCAATGAACCCAATAGAAAAGAAACACAAAAGAATATACCATCATCTCCACTGCCACACTGTACATTGGGCTTTAGTTTTAGAGTGATTTGAAATCACATTTTATAATGTGCCATGAAATCATACATGTATCCTGCACACTTATGACCCAAGGTCTTATCCACTGGTTACTTAAATACAGTATTAAATGAACCAAATCTAAATAAAGATGTCAAATCTGATTACTCAGAAAAGCCATGAAGGATACTTACTCTTGTGGAAAATCAACACTTTTGTAACGATCTTCAGTTTCTGAAAAAAAACGTTTTGCATTTCAAATTTTTAAAATATTAATGAAAGACCACAATATTCCCGGCTGCATTCGACTCCAACAATAGTAAAATGCATTTGGGGATTTGGCCATTATGTGTGCCTCATATTATTGCTACACAGTCCTCCATATCGAAAGAAATTGACTCTGTCAATGCGCAAACCCCAAATCTAAGTCTCAATTAAGCAAAATACACGAAGCTGCCTCTAAGATTTTCTCAGAGTTAATTCTCACTGAAACTGCAACTGGAAAACATTTTGAGGGACAGAAAAAGCTGAAGCTTCTTAACTTATTCCTGCTATAACAGACAAACTTACAGATTGCTGTATGTATACTGATTGCATGCCTATCGAGTAATCTTACAAAGCCTCGTAATTTCTGAGAAAATGTAGGGAATGCAAAAATGGCTAGCCAAGTTATTTATCACAAAAAGATTCTCCTTTTGGTACTGATACAAACGTCTTGCAATTTCTAAGAGCGTCATTCTTGCTGAGGGGTATTATTAGAATGCGAACTTACTGGCTACCAGTTGCTGCTGTTTGTGTAGATGAGTCTTAATCTCCACTACCGCCCGTACCCCAGGTGCTGATTTGGTTCGCTGCCTCACCCGCAGCAGGCTGGAGCAAGGAGAGAAATATTGAAGAGATCCATATTACTAATTGGTCTGGCAAAAACATGCATTCATGGAGGTTCTGAAAAGATGAGGTTCATTCTTTAATATAACTGGTGCCTTAAGTGAATAGAGTGTATGACCCAGCAATCTGCCGAGAGCAGAAGCACCCCCTCATTGATTGAAAAGTGCCATGTTGGTCGAGAGTGTTCATTTGTTGGTAGCAACAGGACTTTAATGCAAGTGTTTGTCATGTTTGTGAACTAGCAAAGTGCAGTTCCGACCAAAGAAGCCTCTGTTGCTAGGAAACTGCGCCCTCTCTTGGTCCAGCTCGGGTCTCACAACAAAATGAGTCAGAAATCGCCAGCGACACTTTCACAACGTTTTCACCCACATATATAATGTCCAAGTCAGCTCTGTTCAGCAGGTGAGCTGATTTGAGTCCGAGTGTCGGAATTTTTTTTTACAATCAAAAACTTTTTCTTCAACAAATGACCCCCTGCTGTAGATGGAAAGCGTGCTTCATTATTTCAGAAAACTGGAGGCAATGAAGCGAATGAAATGATTAAAAAGACTGTATGACAGTGCTTTCAATTCTAATTAAAGATAACACTTCTTAACAAATTTCAAATTTTTTGAGGGGGGGGGTTTCTCTGCCTCAATCAAGGACACTTCAGTAGAAAACTCCTTTGAAAGAAAACATTCGATGCCCTACCTGGTCCTAGTGGGTCGGCCCAGGGCCAGGTCCACTAATCTCTCTGACTGGCCCGGCATCTCTGTGGCCGTCAGGTACTGGTGCATGCTGTTTCCGCGGCAGAAGTAATCCGGATTGTCATGGTACATGTCGGCACTCTTGCTCTGCCTCTTGCCGATGGATTTGGGAGCAGGCAGCACACCGTCTACTTGCTCTTGCTGAAAAGACACACAAAATATAAAAGAAGGCTGGAATGTTTCATCACCTTCACGTTAAAGGTACAGTCCCGCATTTGTGGCTATCCATAAAGTAAATGTAGAAATTTGTGAACAACATACTTGATTAAAACTACAATCCTGGTAAAGATTGTCAGGGCATGTGCCAATAGCCATACCCTTTAATGGTCCCCTACTCCCGCGGTCAGCTCTGCTGGAGCTGGAGCGCAGACTGCATGCTGAGACCCAACATTGAGAGGGAGCCCCGGGGAGGGGGGGCCAACAAGATTTGGCAAAGATTATAGTGATGGGGCTGATTAACTCCCTGTAAAATCATTCTTTTGGGCCATTTAATTGAACAAAGCAATGAAAGAAGACCATTTCCAACTCGGTGTCTTAAGACGCATTTTTGGAATGTACGTCTTGTAGATCATTTCCAATTCAGCGAAGTGCGTGCAATCGTTGACAGGCTGCACACGTTGGAGTGGTTGCTATAATTCATCCATTCACTGCACAACATCAAGTTGCAAGTGGCTGAATAACAGCATGTCCTAGACTCTGAGGTGCAATCCAAAACCGACTTACGAGATCTTAGAATACTTTTGTCAGGACTCAAATTCCGTAGGGTTGCAAAGCACCCCTCTTTAGAGTTTTGAGCAACTTTGTTTCCTCCAACAAACAGAATGCACACATGATAAATGAGAGACAACCTAATTCTTTTGCAAAGCCAACAAGATTCAATGTGATTTATTCTACACAGACATCATATGGTTTTGTACTGTTTGATGAACAATAAATATATATTTCAGTGGGTGACCTATTTGTGGGCATCTTGTGTACGTGTATATGCCTGATATTTCAGCCAAAACAGTGACTGGCTGGTGATATGAATGGTTGGTTCAGATCTCAATCATAAATGAATATGAAATACGGCAATTATGCTTGTATTATAATCACCTTATTTGCTGCCAGGAAGCTCTGCAGTATGAGAGGCTGCTCCCCTGTATGGTTTTTTTCCTTGTTAGCAGCAGGGAGCCACTGCGGCGAGTTGGTGCGACATTTCTGTTCCTCCTGGTATTGGGCATTGACACCGTTCGTCACCTCCTCCATAAACTCTTGGTTGTCAAAGCCGGGACGGGACAGTGGATACTTGCTGGACAGACCTGCAATTTGAAAGAATTAACAGACACCGGATGATGTAAGCACCGGTGAAATACTTGGACAATTTCCACTTTTTAGCTTTGCCTAATGAAGCTTTGCCCACATTATCAACATGTAGCAACCAGAATCATTTTCAAGTTTTTGTTGTTGGGACTATAATTGAAAATGCTCCAACTCAGTACAGCATAACATTAGAGAATTTTTTCATATCAGCAACGGACAGCATTGGAACAGATCTAGTTCTCATCCTACAAGACTAAATAAGTTGGAGTGAAAAACAGAAACTGAAACAGAGATGTATTTGATGACGTTTCAAAACCAACCCCCACCCACCTCCAGAGATCTGACCCAACAAAGGGGGTCATAACAGGTGGCAACAATTTCAGTTTCTGAGATTAAACTAGTGCTTTGCATACACTCAGCGTGGTGACTGTTCTTATCCTGTAGTCTGATTGGCCAAGTTTTTGGATGCACACATGTAAGGACACTGAATGTGTGCACGTAAAGATAGAAAGTTAACCCTGTGTCCTGGTTCTAATCACAAGGGACACAGAGCAGCTACATGTAGTAATACGCTGGCTGAACTTTATGCAATACATGTATAGCTACATACAAAGAAACAAAACAAAACAGACCAAAAAGAAATCTCAACGGACTAGAAGAGCTTCGTCAAATTATCCCACAGTAAAACAACGCTTGACACTGGCCACTTTCCAACATGAAAAGACTTTGATTGCCCATGGCACTACACATACCTTCATTCAGTGGAAAACATGTACTGGGACCTGTGATACACGTACATGTATGTGTACATAAATATCTCAATGGCAAAGGTGCAGGCACTGCAAACCTGAAAACAACACGCTTACTGTGGAGCGTCAACTTCATTTTGCTGACAGCAAAAGATACATGTGCTGTAACCTCGAGCCTTCAAGTTTCATCTACATACTTAGTATCTTTTTTTTTTGAAAACACACACAATAGTTTTATTAAAAAATTCTACTGAAAATATATGACTCCTGCCAGGCTCTGCATGGAGATTTTTTTTTCCAAAGGCAGCTTTTGAAAACCATCAATTCACCACTGACTGTGGCCACGAACCATAAAACAGAATGGCGTCTCTGATTTACGGTACACATTCATCTGCCCATGGCTTTGCCATAAATCCTGACAGCAGCTCATTTGAGTGGCCCACATGTTAACTTAAATTTATGTACTAATTTGGCGTGTTTGCCTCAGCAGGATATAATGAAATGCATGAACGTGTACATTGTGATCTGGTGATTGTATGCTCTGTTCGATGTAATCTCTGTCCTACATACACAGTTTTTATTACACACAGTTCAAGAGGCATTTATAGATGATAAATACAGTTTAAGCACCGTCACAAACAAGCAGTCACTTGCAGGTCTAGGACTTTGTCTCATTCTGGTTCTGTGAGGGTCCTTCAAAGTTTCCATAAGCCCCATGATATTAACATTTTAAGGGGGACCACTTTGCTAAGGACTCAACTGGTCCGGTGCATGATTTGGGTCAAACAAACAGGCATGTAGGTTAGTGTATCCTTTTGTCATGAGCTTGTCTGTTTTGAGGGTGCTTTAACCCAGGAAAGATTAAAGGGCATATTACATTTTTGATGTGTAGATGTGATTGATTCCTACTGGTTAAATAAGCCTTTATATTTTCCTGGCTCCCTTGAACATGTTGAATGCTATGCCGTTATGTTTGTCTTTCTCTGTAGTTTTGGAATAGGGACCATGCATTCCTTCATAGGAAAAAATGGAATGACTTTGCCCCAAATCCTCTGGAGTACTACATGCATGAGTATTAATGAAAAGGGAAAAAATAAAGGCCAAACCCATTTTGAAAAAAAAAAAGCAATCATAGCGTTTGGCAGTCTTGATTTAAAAAAAGCAAAAATTCACAGATAAATTTTGGTATGTACTAAACAAATGCAATAAATTATCAAACAAAACTTATCATGGTAATTTCTCACCAAGAGAACAACACAGACTGAAATGTGTTGAAAAAAAGTGAGAGAAAACAAGAGAAGAAATTAACTTTAATACTCAATGTCCATACTGTATTCAGAATGCAGAGTTTGTTTGACCACACTTGTGCACTTTTAGCAACATTGAAGATGTTGCATCAGGAGACACGACCCTATATTCATTTTTTCCCCAAATTCATTTACATATTTTCCTAATTTCCACGTAATTCTCAGGTTTGCAGTGGGTAGAAATAACCAATAAGGGTCGATAACACACGTGCATAGTGCACATTTGCCAAGCCTGGACAGATACATTTAAGCCGACAATTTCTGGGCACTGTATGACTGGCTTCTCAAGTCCTGCATTTCGAAAACAGAAATTACCCCCTTTGTTTGGAGGTAGTTCCAAACTGAATCAGTTGTTTGTAACTATTGACAGTATCCAGTGGGTGACTATTGTGTGGGTGGTGTAACTGTGAAGGGTGTGACATTGTGGGACATTGTGGTCAGTCCTGTCTCACAATGGTTGGGTCAACAGATCAATGTCAGCTTATCAGATAGGCAGTTGATGTGTAAACAAACTCATTGTAATGGGAGATGGCCAAGTCTACTCAGTTGCAACTTGTAAGTCAATTGGTTTACAGGCACCTATCACTGTTGGCATAAAGTCACAGACTTTTTCATAGCCAACTATTTGTAACTGGACTGCTGGCAGAGCTAAATGATATCATTTTATCTGTGTCAGTGTAAAATTACAAATTAAGTTTGTCTGCAGAGTAATTTGGATTTGGCAGTCAATTCATGGTTTCATATCTTGATTCTATGTCATATTTTATTATTC